GAAAATCGTCTTAATTTATTATAATTTTTTTGTATTTATTTTTTTAAAATTTAAATTAAAAAAATTAAATTATTGAATAAATTAAGGGCTAATATATTAATTAAATATTTGAAATTCCTGAAAATTTTGGAAAAATTTAAAATAAATTATATAAGAAATTCATAAATTTTATTATTGAATTTAAATATTTAATTCAGAAAATTATGTAAATGAATGAATGTTTGTATGTACTATACTAGAAAATAATAAAATAAAATCTAATTTTAATTAATAATTCAATAGTGCTATATGTACACTCATTCAAATTATTAAGAATTCTATAATTTTCGAAAAAATGAAAGGAAAGAAGGAGAAATGATAAAACGAATTAAGTAAATAAATTAATAAAATGTGAATATACTCGTATATGAACTACCATTTGCTGCGGGCTCATTTTGAGACATTGCTTTCAAAATAATATAAAAAATAAAATAAAATTCTATAATAAAAATTCAATTAGCCCTTTAAATATTGTGAATATACTTTATTAAAATTTAAAATAGTAATGTAGAATTCAATAATTTTAAACATTTATAATAAAAAGGAAACTTTTTAAATGAAAAACTTTCTCAGTATACTTTTGCTTGTTCGAAAATTTATATACAAGACTACATTAAAAGAACGTCTTTGTTAATTGCAAACTTAAAAAGAAAACCATATACCATAATATTATTCAATTAAAAAATATTAATTTCTTTCAATTATTTGCCATTAAAATTTAATTATGTATTTTAAATTCGAAATGAGCTAAAAAAAAAAAATGCAATGAATATTTAAAATGATTATTCAGAAATAAATAAAAATTAAATTAAAACTAAAATATTTTAAAATTTTTATGTTCATTTTTTCTAAAATGATAGAAGCCGCGCGTTCAGGAAATCAAATTATAAAACTAAACTAAATAAATTTGTTACTGTGATTGTACGCACATAAAAATAGTAAAATAATATTATTATTTATTATATTACTCTATATTCTCTATTCCCTTTTTTATTTAGAAATTAAAAACTTTAAGAACTTGCAAAATTTCCATTTACTTGCATTTTGTACATAAATGAATTTCATGGTTAAAGTGAAATAAAAACAAAAAAAATGACTTCAATGTAAAATGCATTAATAAAATTCAGGAAGTTTTCTAAAAACATAAACACAAAAAAAAAACTCTTTAAATTACCATAATAACTATATATATATATATGGTATATAATATTAATAGACACACATTTATTCGCATTCATTTTCTATCCTTAAAATGTAATTTTATTTTTTATATTTTAAGTATATACGTAAACTAATATACTATACTACGTAAATGTATACTAAAAAAAAAAAAAGAAAATTGTCTGTAAAAAGAATGGAAAGGAAAACTATTTAGAATGATAATTGTATTTTTCCCTTAGGCATTCCTAGAGTTAGTCAAAACAACTAAATTTTGTTTTTTTTTTTGTTGGTTTTCTTTTATTCCTTTTTGGTTTGGAATTTGTCTTTTTATATACTCGTAAGATAGGGTGTTATTTCATTTAGAACAAATTTTAAATCGAATACAGTTACTTTATATAGTAAAATTATAAGGGAATCAATGTCTATCAGGGCTCAAGACTGATTTAAAATTTTAAATTTTGCAATTACAGCTTAATTGTAGAATTGTTTCGCGTACATCTAACCAAGAAAACTATTATGTCAATTTAAATCAAATGCTTCAATAAAAAATTGCAATTATGTTGGTAAAAAAATTACTAATTGTTTGATTACTTGATTGTATGTAATCATATATAATTGAATGTGTGAGCATTTGAATATAAGCCTGTATAAATAAGCAAATTTCTTAATATGTTTATCTTAGTCTTCAATTTTTAATAACTCAAGTCTTTAAATTAAATTTCAAAATTTAGACCCTAAATTTTGTCACCGTTTTTTGTCACAAAGTGAATGAATTTTCCAAATTACTTATAATTTTTGAAAAAAATAAGTGTATTATAACACAAAAAGCAATTTTTTTTTTTTTTAATTGAAACCTATATTTTTTGTATAAGTTTATTCTTCTTGCTTACTCAATTTTTCTCTTACAGAATAAGTAAATTGTGCACATTTACAAAATATGACGCCAAGCATTCAAAATATTCATTCAATCATTTGATTCCAATTCGACTTATAATATTTTTTTGCTTAAATATAAATCAAAATTCTATTCAATTAATATTAATAGTATAACAGTTAGGATATTATTAAATAATATTACTTACTTGCATTTGTTTTGAATCTCACCTCTTTGATACAGCATTTATGAGAATATCATTAAATGAAATATTGCCATATATTCACTATTTATTACTGATATCCATAATTTCAATACTCGAACACTTAAAAAGAATTCGAATATTATTTTGAGAACGGAAGAATCATAATATAATCTTGTCGTATCTAATTTCAATCACCCTATATACTATAACTTAAAGTAAAATTTTACATATATATCTATATATATATATATATATATATATATATATATTATCTTAATATATACAAATCTTAATATATATATATATACAATCTTAGTATATATATACAATATATATATATATATATATTATCTTAATATATATATATATATATATATACATATATAATATATTAAGATAATATATATATATATATATATTGTATATATATATATATATATATATATATATATATATTTATATATATATATTATCTTAATATATACAAATAACATGCTATATAAAACATAATATGAGAAAAATTTGTGTGCGATGAAATGTGAATAGGAACTTTAATAATACAAGTACATGTATACAAATGAGATTTTGTGCGCAAACTCATTTTATACGGTATAGTCGCTTATGGCAATACTTTTAATTTATTTTCATTTTCATTTTTCTCTTTCTTGTCTATTTTATTATATTTTTTTTTATTTTTTTGTTATTAACTACTATTTTTGTAAGTTTGATGTCGATATCGTTTTATTTTTATTTTTTGTGTTTGTCATCATAACCATTTACTATCAACTAGAATCATTATTATCATATTTATATAGATAATTATCATCAGTATAACAGTTTACTTTTTATATATGTATACATGTTATACAAATGCATACATACAATATATTAAAATCATTTTAACACACCTTCTTTTTCCCTTTTTTACCGAAAAAAAAAAATTTCATAGACAAAATCAACTAATTTTAGGTTTTTCTTTTTTTTTTGTGTTATACTAAATAAAATATTGCAGATAGAGAGATAGATAATACGATACAAAATATTATAATTAGATATATTATCAGACATTAGTATATTTGTGTGTGTGTGTGTGTGTGCAACATCAAACAGAAAATCAACGATAGAAAATAATATCCTTGTATAAAAAAAATATATGTATAACAATTTTTCTTTTTACTCATATTATACTATATTAGTCCTTTTGTTTTTTCTCTTTCTACCTTGCTCATTTTCTTCTTTTTTTTTTTCTTCTGTTATTCAAAAAATAAAGATAGATAATATCAGGACTTCTTACTGTTTGATATAGGAGGTAATATAAAAAGTGCTTAGTCTTCTATGTGATGTAATTTTATAGATTTTTTATATTATATTTTTTTAGTGTCTTTAGTTCTTTGTATATTATCCTGTTTCTTTTTTTTTTTTTTTTGTTATATACATTATCACCTTCTTATCATTTAAAAGAAAATTTTTATACTATACTATGCTGCAAATATATTCAAAAATATATTTATATAGCTACAATCAACTAAATCCTATTATACGAGGTTTCTATAAGAATATTTTCAATGTTATATGTACACACACGTTATAATTACTCTTGAAAAATATAAAACCAGGTTAAGTATTACAATTCTAGTAAAAATTCTTTTATTTTCAGTATTTTTCTTTTTTTTTATTCAAACAAAGAATAAAGAAGCATGTACCATATAAAACCCTTCATTTAAAAATAATAGCTCTACAACATAGTTTTGATGTTTTAATAAAAAAAATGAGAAAATATGCGTACTAATCATTAAATAAATATATATATATATACGAGTATAATCATAATTATGTATATAAAAAAGGTAATTAACTATTTAAAATTAAATTTTAAATTAAGATATTAAAATAATTTTAATACGATAATAAATGAAATTATGTTATAAAAAGAAATTATCGTAAAAAAGAGAATTTTATTTATTCACATTTAATTATGGAAATACTGAAAGGAATAAAATGAAAAAGGAGTAAATTTTATGTTCATTTCATTTTTATATTCAAAAAATAATCTACTGTTTAAATTTATTTTAAATTTTAAGATTAATGATTAATGTTTTATAGAGATTATTATGCGCTTTTGTTATTGCTTTATTGAAATTAATATTAAAGATTTAATTTAATAAATTTTAAATCTATTACATTTATAGAACAGATTTTATTCCTATATTTAGTTTCAAAAGAAATCAATTACTTAATTTTAGTACAATTTAAAAAAAAGTAGAGTTTATGAATTCGCTACCACTTACACTACCAGTTGTTGCTTTAAATTATTTGTATATGAGGAACATAAAAAAGAATAAATTTGAGATGAATTTGTGTTAAATAATAAAATTGAATATAGCTAATTAGTTATTGCATATAATAGTAACGTGTGTTCTTTAAATATATAACTAGTTTATTCAGAAGAAAATATATTTTTGTAATGTAAACAAGCAGTAAGATTATCAATAATTAGAGTTGAGGTTCTTACTAAAGCTTACTGCTATTTATTTAATCTTTTTCTGTTTATTTTTCATCCCTTTTCCATATATATATTACAGTGCCTCTTGTTTTGATTTTAGTTTGACTATTAGGTTCCTAGATAGTTCATGGGTTTTTCATTGTTTCACATTAATCTAAAATTAATATAAAAAATTATAAATAGTAAAATAATACAAATAATTTATATGTGTAAATTATAATGTTTCCATTATATATTCGGTTAATTACACTATTTTGTAAATTTAAAAAAAAAAAAACTTATGGCTAAAATTTACAAAAAAAAAAAAAAAAATTCATCCAAAATATTCTCGTTCAAATTTCTGAAAATCTTCTTCAGTAAATATAGATTCTTCTTTCTTCTTCTTTTGTTTACTTTCTTCCAATAAATTCTTTCGACTTTCACCACGAGCGTATTCAAATAACTGAAATTGTATGAAATTTTTAATTATTTTTTATTAAACGTTTAGGGTGTCTACATAGATAGGTGAAGAGGGATTATATGTCTAGGTAGATAGGTACTTTCCTAACTTAAATTTATAAAATAATAAGCAAAATTCAAATGTTTTCCCAAAAGAATTGTCCATGTTAAATGATTTTCTACTATTATGATAATCTTACCATTTCTGCTGTACTCTTATCAAGCACCACTTTTTTCTTTTTCTCTTTGGGCTTTACTATATCTTTCCTTTTATCAAGTTCTGCTTCAGAATCATTTAATCTTTTCAAATGTTTGCCCTTTACATTATTTTTACTTATCAAATCGTTTTTATTTTCTAAATAATAAAATGTAAACTATTTTAGTTAAATTGAGGGTAATTAAATGCAAAATAATATCTATGTACATACATATGTATTCGTATATTACAGATTTACTCACTTTTGTTCTCAATTTGGGATTCTTCAACAATTTGTATACTCTTCTTTAGTAGTGTTGCAGACATTTTTCATTATCTCTGCTTTTCTATAAATTTAAATTTTAAAAATTAATTTGCAATTAAAATTTTTATTTGTGATTTAAAAATGTTTTCAATGAAAATGTAAACAAAACAAATAATAATATGTACATGCGTTCGAACGTCACAATGACAGAAACAGAATATCAAAAAAAAAAAAATTACAACAATAAATAAAAAGAAGAGTATCGATTCTCGAATTTTTGAATATAATAAACTCTAGCGGCGAAAATTAGAAACGTTGTATAGCATTTGAAAATTTAATGTGGAAATGAAACGAAATTGAAATGATTCAGTTGTTCTTGAAAATTTTAAAATTTAAAATTTATATTTTTTTTTAATTAAGAATTATTTTGAACAGAACTGACCTATCATAAAATAATATTCCGAGTACGAATACTGTAGTATGTATGTTGTAAAAATACTCTTACGCGCGTGTATGTACGTATATTGTTAAGACAAAGTTGAAAGAAGAAGATTTTTATATTTTAATTACCTATAATAGATTTTATGAAAAAATTTTTCATTTTAAATAAGAATGATAAGCATATTAATATCTTTCATAACACATACATAATTTTTTATCATAACATTACATGAATATGTTATGTGTGATAAGTGTGATATTACTAACGCTTTGTCATAAAATGACGTCGTTTTAATTTTCACCGAAAAAAAACCCAAAATCGTAAAATCATAACACTTGTAATCTAAACATTAAAATTTTAATTAAATTCATTAAAACAATAGTATTACTAATTAAAAATTTACATTTTCACAGGTCAAAAAAATATTTTACATGAATTAAATATTAGTATACAAACCAAATTTTTGAACTTAATTTGTAAACATATTAAGTTTCGGAAGTTTTCGGATTAATTAAAATAAAACCAAAATTTTTAAAAACATAAAATAAATTTACCAAATGAGTAACGGGTCGGCGTACATTTTAAAATCTTCGTATTTAGGAGTCATTCACATTTCTATTTACATCCATATACATTATATTGTACATATATTAACTGAACTGAAATTTATAATAATGACATTTTTAGTAACGTGATTTTCATAATTATATTCAAAATATCCATATATGTATGTACATTATAGTGATTTTCATATTCGAATTCATTAAGAGAAAAAAAAAATCATAACTATGATAATGATAGGGATGCAAAATATTTTCATTTCATTTCAACGAATCTTTTAAATGAGTTTTAATTTGAATTACATAGGTGTGTGTGACATTTCTTAAAGCTGAAGAATTATGATCAGTGCAAAGATTATCTGTGAATAGAAATAAATATGTATGTATATTATAATATTAAAAAAAAAAAACAATAATAATTGGTTTGAATGATATATTTGTTATAGGGAAAAATTTTATACCAAATTTTTATGAGGACTTCTGTGAAACTGTAGTTTTGATTGATATCTTAAATCAATTAAATTTCTTAATTTTCTTTCATTGAGTTGGTATTTAACTTACTGTAATGGCCTACTTTTACTGTGGCGGTAATTTAATTTGATCTCCGGAATCCGAATTCAATTTTCCCTTACTTTTCTTTTTTTCCATTATTCCATTTTTCAGTATAAATGTAGAGGCAGATTGCAACGACTTACATATAATTTCTACTTTGCATAATTTAATATTGCAATTTAATTTGCAAGATGCAAATTAAAGTAAAGTTTAAATTTTATCGCAACAACATCAAAACAATTAAACCTTTTAAACTTTAACATAATTTCGCTAGGTGCGCTCATAATTAATACTACATATGTCTTTCATTGAAAGTAAGAAATTTTTTTTGAAAAACAAAAATCTCATTGGATATCAATTAGTATGTAAGAGTAAATATTTTTTTTTTGTATTTATATTTAATAAATTTAATTTTTATTTATTTTAGCATATTTTCTATATATACGCGGTATATAAAAGTTTTAAAAAGCTCACTTAATTAAGTATGGATGGCAAAATATTTGTCCAGCGGTAAAGTATACACAATAAGCATCTATAGCAAAAAGCATTTATAGAGTTCCAAATCAGAAATATTCAAATTTTTAAAATTCATATAAGCTAGTATAAGTAAAAAAGAGTTTATCATTAATTTAGCAAATTCAATTCGAAGCGTAATTCTTCGAAAAAAGAACAAGAAAGCAAAATATCGTTAAAGAAATCACTTTATAAGACGGTATATTTATGGTAAATAAATAATCACATTCAATATTCTAAATTCTAAATTTTAAAAGTTTTTTTTTTTAGCATACAAGTAAATAAACTTGCACGCTTCAAGAATATTAAAAGTATGCATACATTGTTCAATATTCGCAAAATGTATTTTAGTTAAGAGAGGTGCTTATATATTCAGTAGGTGATTTGGTGAATATATTAGTGATTTAGAAGTAAGACAGGTGCTCAGACAGTGAATATTAGAATTAAGGATAAAAGAATTATTTAATTAATATAAATATTAAGTAGTAATTTATTCAAGAATTATAACATATGTGAATTTCTCAAACAAACTAAACTAATTTTTCACTTTTAGCTTATATAATATATAGATATTTTAGAACTTGAATGAAATACAATAATGTTGTATAGAAAATCCCTTAACCGTAATGAACATGACATGAATATTAAGTAATTTTGTATTATAGAAAAACTCTTCATAAATATATATATATAGATATATATGTATTTATATATACGAATGAATAAAAATCTCATTAAAATTTTTGTGTATAAAAGAAAGTAACATTTTAAAATTTATTTTAGTTTAATACAAAAATTTTAATAGTTCATTTACAAAAAAAAAAAGAATTAACGCGATCACCTACATTACATAAATACACAATTTAAAATGGAATCAAAAATTTTACTTTTAATTATCATTAACATTGTTTTATTTAATTATGGATTAACACAAACATCAATCGCTAGATATTATTGTTCAACACAAGCCTGTAGACCTAATCAATCAGTAGCATGTGAATTTATACAAAATTCAGTAATAAACTAGTTTTATATTTTCTATTATACACCTATAAGTATAATGATTATTAGATTATGTGTGATTAAATATAATTAATTTGTCTTTTTATTTTTTCTTTTCATTGTTTTGATTTATTCGTACATACACTTATATAGAATGCTAAATGCTCTGGTAAATTATTAAATATAAATAAAAATTCTATTGTTAATCAACATAATGAATTAAGAAATAGAATTGCTAGCGGTGGATTATATAAATATAATTCAGCATCAAGAATGGCCGAAATGAAATGGAGTCCAGAATTAGCAATAATGGCTGAATTTAATGTTAAACGTTGTTTATTTGAACATGATAAATGTCGAAGTACACCAACATTTCCATATTCTGGACAAAGTTTAGCATTAAGACGTCAATATGGTATACAAAATTGGAATTATAATAATAGTGAAATTCGTGGCAGTATAAATAGTTGGTTTAATGAATATAAATTAACTGATATGAGTGTTATTAATAAATATCGTAGTACAGGGTAAGTTTTATTATAACATATTAAAAATATCTACAAATATGTAGTACCGAGGTGCTCTTTAGAAGTATTTTTATATAATATATAAATGAGGTCTTATTTAATTGAATTTAAAACACCTTGATTTGGTGTTACTAGCTATATTATTTTAATATATTAATTTTGAATTGATTAAAAAAAAAATCAATAAAAATATTACACGTTTTTAGTAGATTTTGATTTTATTATATTTAATCCCAAAAAAAAAATTTTTGTACATGTTTAGTATATTCAATTAGACAAGAAAAAAAAAAACTAACAAAAATTTTTCAATGACCACAAAAAGTGTGCACAGAAAAAAAATTTTTTTTTTGATTATTTAATAATATTGTGTGTGGTTTATGAAAATGTTACAGGCAGTATGTGTGAATTATATTTTATGGCAATGGGACAAAATTACTTTCATAACTCATAATTCATAGTTTCGGGCAAGGTTTAGAGATTTTCACAATTATGCCTGCAAAATGTAATTTGGATATACTTTTTAAAAAGTGCTTTTCTCATTTCATTAAGTTGGGCACAAACATTACTAAATCATTGGTTCTTATACGGGGAACAAAAATATTTCAAAATGTCGAAGTTCCTGCCAAATTTGCTTAGTCAGTTTTATTTTTATTATAATTTTGTTCAAGAATATATATAGACTAAAGTAATGTTAAGATATATAAAAAAAATAATGCTATATGCATAACATTACTTGCAACAAAAAATAATAATTTTATAAAAAAAATAAAACAAAATACATACTAAATCTTATTTAATTTTTAGAAAAAATATTGGTCATTTTACTGTAATGGTTAAAGATACAAATACTCATGTTGGTTGTGCTGGTATACGTTATCAAGATGGTATATGGGATACAATATTATTTGCTTGTAATTATGCTGATACAAATATTCTTGGACGACCAATATATAGAAGTGGACCACCAGCTAGTCAATGTGTTAAAAGAAGTCCACGTTATAAAGCATTATGTGAATCAATTTAGAATTAATTAAATTCGAGTATTTAATTATATATTGCAATATTATCAGATCAGATAATATAAGTCATGCAATTTAATTGTCACACAAAAATTAAAATTTAATATAGAATGCATTACGACAATATAGAATCATAAATGCAACTTATCAGATTTTTAAAAACGCAAATAATTTAATAAATTTTAGTACTTTAGTTCCTTTATATAATATAATTTTAAAATTTACTAAATTATTATTTATAATTATAATTTAAATAGTATTATGTAAAAATAAACTAGGTATTATTTTGTAATATATAGATTAAAAATTTTAAATATTTTTACAAAAAATTTTAATTTCTAAGAAGGAATAAATTGTTACTCTCAATGTAGTTGTTTTCGAATTTTTATTAATTCAAAAAATGAAGTATGTAATTAAAAAAAATTAAAATTTTAAATTTTATATTATTATTAAATTAAATTACTAATTATTGTTGATTATTATTTACATTTTGAAGTTGTTGAGGCAATGAAAAATTATAATTTTAAATTTTATTTTATTATTGAATTACTAATTATTGTTGATTATTATTTACATTTTGAAGTTGTTGAGACAATGAAATTACCAATTTCAAAATTTTCGTGCTTAACATAAATTTGAATTTCCATTCAAACTAAAATTAATAAAACCATATTATTAGTTTATTTGTATTTTTACAATTAAGGGCTGATCAAATTGTTTGCATTTCAAATATTAATTTGTTGTTAATTCTTATATGAATTGATTCAAAATAATTTTGTTTATTCATCTTATATGTATCACTTATAGTAAACACACAATTTAAAATGAATCAAGTATCAATTCATTTTAGTTCCTCCCGAACTTGCACTTCTCGACTAAATTGTCTAGAGAATTTCAATCTAGAATATATAATCAAATTAATTAAAATCAGTCTTAATTAAAAATCTGAAAATAATATTTTTAAATTAGCTGCTAATTATATAATTATTAATAATTAAAGTAAATAACAAAATAAACTCCTTTTTTTTTATTTTTAAATTATTGATAAAAAATATTTTTATTGTATTTTCATTTTTCTTATTTTTTTTTTTATATATAGATTTTTTTTTTTATTTTTTTTACAATTATGTGATTTTTGATCAAATTTTTATTTATTTTTGCTTAATTATTTTTTTTGTTTTTCTTCATTTTTAATTCAAATGTAGCTTAAAAAAATTTTTTTAAAATTATTTGAAAAATTTAAATTAATTTTTTTTTTTTTTTAGTCAAAATTCTATAATTAGACTTAAAAGATATTTATTGCAATTTAAATATTCTACAAGTTAGAAGATGAAAATAAGAAAAACAAAAAAAAAAACAAATAAAATTTATAACACATTTTTACAATATTAAATTTTTTTTCTGAAAAAAATATACATTTTTAATTTATATACGTAAATTATAAATTGTAATATTATATTATTAATTAATTATTTTTTATTATTAATTAAATTAAAGAATAAAAACCACATACATTTCTTATTTAATATTTACTTAATTATGTTTAAAAAGTACAAAAAAAAAAATAATAATTGTTATAATTACAAAAATTTTTTATGCAATATTTGTTTTTTTTTCTATTTATGCATAATAACAAACAAATCACGTACAAAACAATTAAATTATATAATAATTTATATTATATATAATTACTATTATATTAATTACTAATATTATTAATATGAAATGTATATAAGTATTTTTTTTTTATATAGAAAATATATTTTTCTTAAATAATTTAAATTCTAGAATATATGTGCATTTTTTAATAAATGTATAGATTTTTTTTTAAAAAATTTATAAAAATTTTCATATTAAAATTACATTTTATTTTAAATAAATTGTTAAATAAATTATAAAGCATATTTGTAATGACCATATTAAACCATTTTAATTTAGAATATAATAAAAACATTTTAATTTTTAAGATCTGTATTTTCTTGAACGTATTATATAATTTACTAGAATATTATTCAATAATATTGTAATTTTTTGTAGGGAACATATAAAATTTCAACATTGATTTTATACTGAAATCTAAATTATATCTAAATAATTATATCTAGCACATTATTGGATAAGTCTTTGAAAATACAGGTGAATTTTGCGCAAATTTAAAATGTGATTTAAATAATTTACATACTGATTTAATAATGTTAAACAATAATAATAGATTTTATTAAAATAATGTAATTTTAAAAATTTAATATAAAATAAGATTATGTAAAGAATTAAATGTGATCAGCTAAATTTTTATTTATCACCATACGTACATGCTGGTGATTTATCACTTTTAAAATACAAAAATTTTATAATATTATAATAAAATTAAAATATTCACTTCAATCAATTTCATACAATATTCATTAAAATATTATTAATATTAATACCAAATTAATTTTTATACAATTGATTCTTATATCTGAAAAAATAATATTTAATTTTTATGATTATCACTTCAAATTTTCTCTAAAATAAAATGCCGAATACAAGAATAACAAGATAGTGAAATTTAAAAATATATTTTTATTTTTTTTTTATGTTTAAATAATTAGTGCACATATTTCTGAACAATATATTATTTTTTATAAAACTATATTATGTAATTTTTTTTTTGTCGTTCATACGAGAAGCATTTTATTTTCATTTTAAATCGTACTTATTTAATTAGTGAGTTTTAATTTTTTTTTTTTGTTTACTTTTTGTTTAATATTTCAATATTTAATACAAAAATTTATAATTTATTTTATAACAGCCACACACAAAAAATTAAAAAAATATTATAATTATAATTATGGTATTGATAATTTTTATATGTATAGAAAATATTTGAATTATTGAATGGAACAATTAAAATACAAAATTTTGAATAAAATACAAAATTTTCATTATTATTCATTTAACTTGAATATTACACTTTTGAATATTTTTAATGGTATTTAAAAAAAACAAAACACATGCATTATAATTGAGCACCTTATTGTATTTTCATATTTATGCAATATTCTCTTGCCCATCTGTTTGTTCATAATTTGTAAGACGCATTACAATTTAAAATTATCGGATGAAATTCAAAGATTTTGTAGTCTTTAGAATGATTTTAAAATTTCAAAAGTGACAACACTAACACTTTTTAATAAAATCCTATCATGTCAAATGGGGTGCGTCTAAGAGATTAAATTGGCGATTATTAAAATAAATTATGGGTGATTATTAAAAAAATTAAAAAAATAAATTAGAAAATTATTATTAAAATTATTATCAAATCTTCCTATCTAGCATACAATTGCAATATGTTCCATTCCATTTTTTTTTTTTTTTGCTTTTCATTACAATTACACATTTTATCATTAATTTAATCTTAAAATTAAAAATAATTTTACATACATTAATAATATTTGAAACAATTGTAATTTTATTTTTTCATTTTGATATTTATTTTTTTCTTTAATTTTTATACTAACTATGTATAACAATAAATATATCACTTATAATGAAATTAATTTAAAAAAAATTTTATTTTCTGCTTTTCGATTTTTTTTTTTGCTATTATTTAAAAAAGAAATTTTTTATAATTTGAAATCATAAAGGAAAAATAATTTTATTACCATATTGTAATTTTATTTTTAAGAATATTTAAATAAATTTCAATATTTAATTAAATATTTTTTAAAAACAAATGCATATTTATTACAAAAATATAAAAAAAAAAAATCAAAAATTATTATATTTTGGCAAAATGTTTTCAAAATTATCACTGGTTATAAAAACAAAAATAGTAAATTAAAAATTAGTAAATATTTTATTACAAAAAACAAAATTATTATTATTTTATTTGAGTAACATTTTATATATATTATTATTAAAAATTAAAATAGAATAGAATTTTATGAAAATATTTATAAAAAGTCACAATTCTAATTGCACATAATTTTATTTATACTAATATTAAATAGATATTTTTAATAGAGGTTTCAAAATTAAAATTCGATTTAAAATAAAGAAAATTTCAAAAAAACTTAATAATTTAAATCATAAGGAAAATTTCAGGACCTTAAGAGTCCTGAAACTTTTAAAAATTTACAAAAAAAATCAATATTAATTTTAAATTATTTATTGTAAGTAATTATTACTAATTATTTTTTGTTAAATTTAATTAATTTCTGATTAAACGTAAATAATTAACTTTTATTTAATTAAAAATTTTGAAATATGTAATTAATTTTGGAAAAACTCTTTCTTTTTTCGAAATTTTTTCATATTTAATATTAAAAATTTTTATTTAAATTAACAATGTATTAATTAATATTAATATATTGGAATTAATAATTAAATTAATATTAATTCATTCAATTATTAATTCAATATATTAATTAATATGATACATTAATAAATTAAATGAATATTAATTAATATTAATATTTATTTAATATTTACCCATTCTATTTTATAGTTAGAATAGGTAAATTGAAAATTTTCAAATAAATTTAAAATATATCATTTATTTAAAACAAAATTTTAAAATAAAGCAGTAATTAATAAAGAATATTATTAAGTTGAAAAAATTAAATAAATTCATAAAATTAAATTTGTTATAAAAGATGAAATTAATTATTTTTAATTAAAATAATAAAATTGAAACAAAATTATAGAGCTATTTTAATCATTATTAATTAAAATATGAATTCAAAGTGTATTTAATAATTGTTTTTGTACAAAATAAAAATTCTTATTAATATTTTTATCTAACAATTTCTTTATTTTAATATTTATTATATTCTAAAAATATTAATCATTAAATATTTTTTCGTTGCCATTTTTCAATTTTTAAGCTTTTGCATTTCTAAAACAAAAATTAAATCAAGAAATTAAGAATCAATAAGAAAATTGAAAATTTATTTCTAGAATAAGTTTTTTTTATTATTATTAAATTTTTAATTTATTATATGTTATTTTGTTCTGTTTAATGAAATATTAATTAAAATAGCAATAAATTTAATATTTATGAGGATTATTAATTTTTTTTTTAATGAAAAGAAATTAGATTTTCAGTACAATTTGAGTTTTATACTTTGTATGTTTCTTAAATACGATATTAAACCTTCTACATAATTCGTAAATTTCTGAATTTTTTATAATAATATTTCAAAAAAAAAAAATTCTATTAACTCAAATTATACTTTAGAAAACCCCAATGAATTTTATTAATTTATTTTGGATTTAGAAGAAGAAGAAGAAGATGAAAATTGAAAAAAAGATCTGGTTTCAAAATAATATTTAGAATTATATTGTAGCTATAAATCTATTGATTTCGTTCATTTTCTTTTTTTTTTTTTTGATTTTTCAATCTAAACAGTGCAATATTTAAAATTTTTATTTTAACTTTTTTATTTTAATAAATTTGTTTATTTATTTTATTTATTTAATTATCTGTGTTTTTTTTTTTTGTATTTTATTTTCTAATGCTAAAAATTTTTTTTCTTTTTATTTTAAGAATGCAATTTATACAAAACTTAATTCTATATTTAATTTTAATTTTCAATTTAAAAAAAAAAAATACTTTCATATTTAATTTAAGATATGCGTCTATATTATTTTAATTTTTGTTAAAAAAAAAATTTTATATTCGGTTCTTAAAATTATAAAATTTTAGAAAAGTAAATTCATAGTGATTTCATTTATGTAGTAGAAAAATTAGATTTGAAAGTGAATTTTAAGTACATACATATATAATTCTAATAAAATTTAATATACATAGTACAGTTTAAATTTTTCCAATATGTAATTTTCAGTTGAATTAAAAAAATAATGATTTTAATTTAGCATTTTTACATATACGAGTATAATGTTATTTTGTATACCTTTCCAAATTTTTAAATATTTAATTTAAGTTTTTATTTTTGTTATATTAATTGATGGATCGTTCGTCATTTGCATTTATGCGTTTTCAAGGAATTACCACAAAAATTATAGAATTTCAAAATTTTATTATGTGAATTTTTATTTTATCCTATTTCGCTCCTGTTTAGAGCATAGAATTGGTGCATGATATCGTTTATAAATCATTAAGCAGTTTCTTGTGTCATTGGATTGTTTACTAGATAGGTGACGAGCCTACCGTAATAGTATTATATGAAAAATTTGAGAAAAATACAGAAATTAATAATAATAACATTATAATTTTAATTAAAACAAAATATTATTTAAAATTTAGTTTTAATTAAAATGAATTTATTTAAAAGTATTTAACAAAATTATGTAGAAGTATTTATAAATTATTATAAGAGAGAATTTAAGAAAATTGTTAATTAAATAATAAAACTAGCTACTTTTATTATTTAATAAATTTAATAAATTATTAAATATTTAACAAATTATAAAATTTAATTGATAAATTGCAAATTAATGGAGTTTAATGGTTTCAATTTTATTTTAACAAATTATTTAAAATGTGTTAGGGTCCGATAGTTTATCTCGTTATTTTACTTAGAAAGTGAGGAAGAAGTAATTAACTATTATATATTTGTATAATGTAATTTTCGAGTTAGAACAATTATTTGATATTGCGTATCTCGTTTTTTTCTAAAATGTATAAAAAATTTATTCATTTTTTTTTTTTGAAAATTAGACGTTCAGTCGATAATCTGAGAAAAAATGCAAAAATCCAATTGAAAAAATTCGTAATCTTATTGGAAAAATGAAATATCCATTAGAAAAAACGAATAATTCTGATTTGAAAGTGAAAAAAAAAGTGAGATACACGAGCCTAGTCGTGTTAATTTATATGAAAATTATTTAAAGAAAAAAAAAAAAAAATAAATTCAATACACAAATGAATACTTTAAATTTACTTTTACAAAAATTTTATAATTTAATTGTGTTCCGAAAAGAAAAAAAAAAACAAAATTTTGCTTTGCTTACAAAATGTAATTTTAGAATTATTAATTTTTTTTTTCCCTTCTTGTTTTTTGCTTCGATTATTTAATATTTTTTTTTATTTTACGAGCGTATATTTTGATTTTATTTTTGTAAAATTTTTATATAATTACAATTATATTATATAATACGATTTTTCATACCAAAAATAATTATATTTTATTTTTCAAATACCGTTGCTAATAATAATTATTTTTTTTTACATTTTTCTTTTTTGTCAGAAATTCATTGTTTGTTTGTTTTAACAAAGATTAATAAAATTGTGATTATTTTATATAAATTTCGTAATATTTCTACAATTATAATATTAATTAATTAATTTTTCTTTTGTTTTCTAAAATTCTTTTTAATTAATGCTTTTTTTTTTTTTTTTGTTATAATCAGGCACGTGCAATGGTATATTGTAATTTTTTTCGAATTTTTTTTATATTTTATTTTTTAATTATTTAAATAATGTCAACAATAATGTTTTTATTGATTATTCTTTTATAATATTTTAATTTACTTAATTATCTTAAAATTTTATTTCGGAAATTATTAATTTTCTTCGTCTAATTGTTTTTATTTTTTTATATAATAATTTTAATTTTTTTTTCATACGTACATTTGTTTTTTTGTTGCACCTACTTATTGTAATTTAATTATGAAAAAGATTTTTATTTTGAGTTTTTTTTTTTATTTCAAAAGCGCGCAAATATCATAAAATAATAAAATAAAATTTATTATTTTATGAAGAGACTAACAACTAACATTTTTGTTTTTTAATTTTTTATTACATTCTAATTTTTTTCATTTTCAAGCAATTATTATTTTGTTATTTTTAAGTTTTTGATAAAGAATAAAAGAGTTACCAATTCTATTGAAAAGAAAATTTAGAATATAATATAAATATAGAATCTTATAAAAATTATATTTAACAAAATGTAAAATAAATTTAAATATTATTAAATTAAATGTAAATTAAATGAGTCATATTAAACTGGGTTGTATTATTATATAAATTTTGTAAAGTAGATTAAAAATTAATAAGGAAATGCCTATTTTATATGAATGTTGAATGAAAATATTCTAAAAATAAATCATAATTATGGATTTAATACAGAAGAATGTTATTTGCAGCAACACTTTTTTAAATCAAATCATAAAAATTAAATTATTTATTAAAAATGTTAAGTATTTTTTTTTTTCTAAATTTTGAGCTTGTTTTTGATATTATGAAAGTAAATTTTAATAAATTTTATTGTTGTATATGAATAATATTCCCAATATATTTTATAATTAATATTATTAATTACTACACAATAATGCTATGATAAAATAAGATGAACTGATTCTCAAATTAACTTTAAAATTAAGTATTTAAATTTAATATTAGATTATTAGAATTAATATTAGAATTAAGTTCTTAACCATGATTAAAAATCTGATGTATTATTGCATTTATATTATTGAAAAGAATTATAATTCTAATTTTTGCTTGCTTAAGTTTAAAAATTTTATTACAAAATCCTACTGCTTTCTATTAAGAACAAAATCAATTTTTAGTTTTCAATATTGAATTGTTTGAATTTTGAATAAAAATTTGTAATTTATTAAATTAGTTTAGTTTTTAAAGAAATCTTAAGATAGCTGAGAAAAAAATAATCTTAAAACATTTTATCTACTTTAATTTCAAAATTAAAATTTTCGAGTAGATACTGAAATTAACTAATAGTACATATATAAAATTTACTGGAAATTGTTATGCAGGTGCTGCAGTACTTATAATCAAGTTTCAAAATTATTAAATATGAATTCAACAATTTGTGTTGCTTATATTTTGTAATGTGTTTCATATTTTAAATGATTGCTTTTATATGTGAACATTTCCAAAAAGAAAAAATTATATTTTACATTAATCTTATAAAATAATAAAATTCTGTATAAATTCTTGTACAATAATATACAAAATATTTTCATCAAAATGAATTGGTAACTCATTTTTAAATATTTTTTTTTTTTTGTTAATAATTTTTTAAATTTAAATTCATATTGTTTTACAAATTCATTTTTTTTAATTTTTAATTTTTAAGATGTTTTGATTCATTGCAATAATTTTATATTTTTATTTAAATTGTATAATTCTAAAATTTAAATCAAGGTGATTGATTTTTTTATAAATTTTTTTTGCTTGTGTTTTTTTTTTCATAATTTTACAATTGTTTCTACCAGTTTTTGTTTTTTATAACTTTCATTAATTTTCTTATATAATAATAATACGTTTTTCCTATATATTACATTAAATAATTTTTCATTTTTTTCATATTAAAAGAAATTTAATTAATTTTTGTTTTTGCCTAAATTAAAAAGAAAATAAATGTTTTCTTGATTTTTTTTTTGTTTTTTAAAAATTTTTTTTTTTTTTATAATTTTCTTAATAATGACTTTTTTTTTTACCTAATCAATTACTTAAGTAATACAAAAAAAAAAAAAAAATAGAGAAATTATTTGCTAAATAAAAAATTTTTTAATTATTTTAATTAAATTTTGTAAAACATTTTCTCATGTAAAAGGCGCTGGTAAAACTAATGGATCAAATGATGGTGTTAATTCTGAAACACTTTTCGCTTTTCTATATCCCCATAATTCCATTGCTTTTGTGCATGCATCTTGAATACTTTCAATCTAAAAATTAAAAAAAAAAATTTTTTAAAATCTATACTATTTTTAATTTATTAAGGATTATAAAATGCAAGAATAAATTGCATATATATATAACCACTATTTGAAATTTCCATGTAAAAAAAAAAAAATATAAAAACTCTTATACCTCGTTCCACATTAAATCTTTAATCCAATGAAATGGTGCTGATTTTGAATCACGAAATGTTGAACTAACACCACCAATATTTAATTTTGTATGTGTATCTAAAAATTCTTCAACCATTGGATCAAATGGTAAACCAAAAAATTGTAGAATTTCTTGTGTCATTTCATATGGATTAAGTGATAAATCTTCATAACGTAATGTTCTACAATAATAATAAAAATAAAAAATTATAATTACTTCAAGTTTATAAGTAAAATTGAGTTTTAAAAAAAAGAAAATTGAATTTATAATAAGTAGTAATATTATTTACCTAAATCGGGACGGATATTTTTTTAATAAATGCTCCGCAGCAGAATAATCTGAGACTAGATCCATACATAAATTCGATGCTCTATCACAATCTGGATTACCGGGGCACCATAAACGATGTTTTCGTGATTGCATTGTACCACGTGGATCACGTACTAATACTAAAACACGTACATTCAGACTGTAAAAGAAAAAAAAAATAATAAACATAAGGATTAATATTAAAAATTAATTATTTATATATAAATTAATATTATTATTTTATTAAATAATTATGAAAACCGAATACCATACATCATGGAAAATATGGTTTCATTTGATTTTAAAGCAAACTAAATGGGTTGAGGGATCATTTAAAATGAAATTTCTTCAAAATTTCCAATTCTTCTTAATTTTTATTACTTATACACTATTGTTGTCATTTTGTTGTCATCAAATGATTAACTTGTCAATTAATGTTCGTCCTATCTAGGTGAATATATAATTTCTCTCTCTCTTAATTTAAAATACGCAACATTTAATTATTTTGTTTACAAAAATTTCTTAACGATTTTCAATGTCATTTTCTAAAAAAATTTCCCTTAAGTTAGTCACATTTTTTTTAACTAATTCAAAATAAATATCCTAAAATATTGTCAAAATATAAAAATTTCTCCTTTTCTCAACTAAATATTTTACATAATAGATAAAATTTTGAACTGAAGATGGAGACTGTGAAGCTGTTCAAATTTTTATTTAAAAAATACTGGAATAAATTTTTCTAGAATATTAATGAATATTAGTTTTAATAAGAAAATTCGACTGTTTTATGGCCCTCTCCCTTTAAGCGGACTTTGTACAAAACAAAACAAAAACTCTCTCTTTTCTCCGATAAATGTTATTGATAAATAATTATTATTCAATTATTTAGAACTAAATTAAAATTCAGGAACAATTTATTAATTGTCATAAATTTAGAATAAGAAATAAAAACCACAAATGAAAGTGCTTAGAGCGTGAAAATTCTCAAAACATGGTAAACGATACGAAAAATTTTCCGCTTCAAAAAACAATTTTAACAATTGGCTTGTTCACACAATTATTGTCAACTGATACAAAAAAAAAAAAAAAATCATGGAAAATAAAAATTATAATTAAAATATTATTTTTTATAACAATTTGAATAATAAATTTTCACCAATAATTGTTAAAATAATTGTCATTTTTTTTTTTTCAGTTTTCCAGTTCGATAAATAGACGCATTTTATTCATGTACCTTTTTCGTTTCTTTTTTTACTAATTGAACCAATTTATGCTTTGCGTCCTTCAACATTTTAATAAACAAAAAAATTATTTTTCTACCGAACCGTTTACACTTTTTTTTACATAGATTATTTAGAAATTTCAATATAAGCATTTTATAAATTGACTAATCTCTTTCCGTCCTGTTAATTTCAATTTATCATTTTATAGTTTTTTAATTTTAATATTTTATTTTTTTTTTTATTTTTGCTCTAAATTGCAAATTAAAAGTATATGGCATCAAAATAGAAGAAAAAAAACCAAAACAAAACAAGAAAACAAGACCTTTTTTCTCTTTTCATAAAATTTTAATTTATCATAATAAGCAATAAATTATTCCCAATTATCCATTAAAATTTCTCTTCTGATTTTTTAAGTTTTGTGATATTTTACAGATTGTATACCGTATATGTACCCATATATGTATGTATGTATGTATATAATAGAAAATATCAGTTGCTAGTTAACAATATCAATTGATTTTACCTTTTTTTTGCCATTTTTGGTTTTTTTTTCTATTTTTAATTTTTGCCTTTCTATATCATTTGCGGATTTTGATTGAATTGTATATCATTTGAATTTCCATTAATAATATAGTGTTATACTAGTATTATACCAGCAATTATTTGGTGTAAGCATGTAAATTATAATTTATTGTTCAGAATTTATAAAATATTATAAAAATTGTTACATGATTTTTCAAATTTTTATTCCTAAAATTTTTATATTTTTCCCAATTCTTGTAATAAATGTTAATGATCTTAAATCCAAATCCGATTCAAAATATTATGACAATTGCTTATTATATAATACATATAGTCTTTAATTTCATGATAATTGAACAGAAATGACAAATTGAAAAAATGACAATTGGATTTTGTAAATGACAAAACAGTTTTTGATAATCAATTTTAAATAAATAAATAAATAAACAGGTGAGAGCAATATTGACAAAGTTATTATTCATTGTATAACATTAAATTGTCTGTTATGCGCCTTGAGATATGCAATTTTTAAATAAAATATAAATCAACTTCATATTCAAGTATGAAATTGTTAAATGAATTAAATAATTGAAATTTCTGTTAAAACAGCATTTTTAAACATTCAAATTTGCTTCTTTTGAAATATCTTAATGAAAAACAAATAAATATTTTGATTAACGTCATAAAAGTCAAATAAATACTTCAATATTATGTAAACTTTGTGCAGCCGCTAGCCAAAAAATTGCAAATTTTTTGCAAAATAAAATTATTATCAAAACAACCTTATAATTGGATTTACTCGGCAATTAAAAAAAAAAAAAAAAACGCAATTTTTTCTACTCCGATTCTTATTTTTGTTAATTTAGTTTTGTACAACATCTACCTATGTTTGTAAACACCTAAAAGATAACGTATAAAATTCATTTGTATACACAAAGAGATGAAAATTTAATTGGAAATAAAATAGAAAAATTTTTTGTGTTTATTTACAAAACTCTTTAAATTACTTTTTATTTGCTTTTATTTGCTTTTTATTTTGCAATTGTTCACAATTTACACTATAAATATATGTACGTATGTATAATAAACTTAAGCAAAAATTTCATAAATATTTTATAGTAAGTAAACATGTACGTACAATTTGCATACACAATAATCTACCTACACTACTTACATATATCTATATATGCAATAATGTAATAATGTAGGTAGTATTTTTGTATACATATCAGTATGTGTGTAGAAAATGCAAATATAATAACTCTGTTGATTTGTTTAAAATAGACAATAAAGTATAAAAATATTTAGCAAAAAAAGAAAAGATAAGAAAATGAAACGTTTTATAATTTAGAAAAAGTGAAAAGAAAAGAAATTCGAAAATGAAATAGAAATAGAAAATACTAAGAAAAATATGCAAATTAAAAGCCTACAATCATAGTCGAATAGGTATAACTACTAGCGACATATTTTACATGCTACAATATCGGTATACATAAGCAACTCAAAATAAAACAACATACACAATATGGTATTAATATAATAGAGTAGACAATGCGATTTAATCATTATCATTCATCGTCATATCTATCTCTCTCTCTTTCTCATGATCGCAATATTAGCATATTATTTTAATATTTCAAAATTGTGTTGTGTTGTATGTTGCGTTGTGATTGTATATTAAAATTGAAAATTTTTTCGTGCAGATGCTTTCCACGATGACATTGTGACATTTTTTATTTTATATGTCATGCACATAATAGTGCGAGTCATATACAAAAACACTATTATAGTATGTATATACGACAAAGATTATAGCAAAGGAATATACCTACATATATTACATATATATTTTATATATAATATATATATATATATATATATATTATATATATATATATTATATATATATTATATATGTAGGTATATATAGCATAAATTATATTATGCCTACATTATAATATTTTTGCCAAATCGTATAACGTATGTAAAATTTGATTTTAAGTAATTTAGAATATGCAATATTAAAAACAAAAAATTATTCTGTTTTGGATAGAAAATTTTTGTTATTTTTTTAATTTTTGTACTTTTAATTTGCATATTTGATGCAGATTTTTTTTCTATATACTTGCTGTCATTTTATTTTTTATAGTGAATTTTAGATGGCATTGAAATTATATTTTTTTTTTATTTTTTTTTTTTTTTTGAATTCGCACATAATATGATTGTCATTCTATTATAAAATATTTAATATGAATTATTTAAAAAATTACAAGTAAAAAAAAAATTTCTCTTTTTAAGCAAATCACTTTAGAGTAGACACTCCTTTTATGTGCTTTTGCATTATGTCAAAATTTTGTTGATACAATAAGACAGAGAAAATTTAATGAACAAAAAAAAAAGTGTATATATTTAAAATTTATGGTGTCCCTTTAGCAGAACTGAGAGAATAATATCAAGCAGAATTAAAATTAAACACGTTCAACATATACCAATCCTATTTTTATGTCAAAAGTATTATAATTGAGATGAGATTAAAAAAGGTTTGTATAATATATCACAATTTTTTCTATGTAAACAATTTACCTAAATAATTTTTAAAATTAAAAATTGATAATCTGACTAAAATTATCTAAAAATTAATAATCCGACAAAGAGCTATGAGATATCAAGCATATTATATTTATATAGGTTTACAACTGCGACATAAATTAAATATGTTGTTATACAAAATACAAGAGGTCAATTGCGTTTACAATATTTCTATAAATTAAAATCCGTATTAATTTGACATTTCGAAAACGCCATTCAAGTTCATTTAAATAAATTTAGACGTACCATTTTGTCTTCAATTTTTACAATTACATAGTTACTTACTTATGAGTATAATAACTTATTCTGATCGATTTGTCAATTGATAGAATTAATTATTATGATAATTCGTTCCCGGTTTCCTAATGTACGAATTCCAAATTGAAATTCTTGAGTAATTAAAAAAGAATTATTTAATTCTCACAAATTTACATTAGACTTTTATTGACTGTCAATTGTACTAATCTAAATAAAATAATAATCGAGTAGTAGTGACAAAAAAATTATACGAGTACCAACAGATGGCTTTAATATATTTGTAATAAAAATTAATCAAAATTCTAAATGCTATTTTATTTGTAGTAAATTTAATATAGTTGGAGAATTTAAAATAGAAGAAATTTGACAATTATAATTTCCTCGGAATAATCTCCTCTTTCTCATTTTTAATTAGGGAAAATTTCCTCGAAATATTTTCCTCTTTCTATATATTTTTTTTTTAATTATAACAAATTCTTATAAAATTATTTTGATTTTCTCCATATTTTCCTATAATGTAGTACAAAATTTATCCGTTATTGTACTATATAAAGCAAAACAGAAAATTCACAACATTGTTAAACAATCTTATACGCATAAATATATGAATGCTCTTAAATAGAAGAAATAAATTTAATTTATAAATAATTTTAAGTCATCTGGTGTGCACATTGAAATTTACAACAAATACTTACGAATATAGTGACACAAATATTTACGATGTAAATGACATTTTCATTGTAATTTAGCCTGCATAAATTTAAAAAATATATATATATATTAAAACATAAAAATTATTTTAAAAATAAAACATTTGTTTTTATTGTATGTTTTAAATAATAAGTGCATTGCTCCACTTATAAGAG